CCGGGTGTTTTTGCATGTCCGGACCCTCGTTTACTGGGCTCATCGGGTTAGTGGACCTCTTGCAAATTTAGTTGGGGACACCTGTTATAGGACAACACACATAATCAGTTTATAATTAAAACTATTAATCCAAAAGGTCCTTTAGCAATGATTGAAGAGTCATAAAAACAGATTATGGAAATACACTATTTGAACATTAATTTTTTCTCATTGAAGGGAATCATAAATAACATTAATCTTCAAGTGCATGATTCAAGGCAAGCATCAGTAGTACTGTTGCTTAAATGGACTGTGACCATAAACCCCAACCAAACTTCACTTTAAATAGTGCACTAGCATTGACTACGACTGACCTAATAGCCAAAGGCCGAACAATAACGTCACGCTAAATCATAAAGTATTTTATTACATCACTTATGTGCGATAATGTATACATTCACTTAGGTTTACTAAGTAGCCTACTTACCTATTTGTCTAACTATCAGTTATTTGGTAACACTTTACAATAAGGTTCATTAGTTAACTACATTAGTTAACATGTACAATATGTGAACAATACTTCTTCAGCATTTATTAATCTTAGCTAATATTAATTCCAACATTTACTAATACGTTATTCAAATCAAAGGTTGTATTAGTTAACATTAGTTAATGGACTGTGAACTAACATGAACACACAATGAACAGCTGTATTTGTATTAACTAACATTAACAAAGATTAATAAACACTGTAACTAATGCGTTGCTCATTGTTAGTTCATGTTAGTTAATGCATTTACTAATGTTAACTAATGAAACCTTATTGTAAAGTGTTACCAGTTATTTTTTCATTCTGTGCACCTTGTGGTACTATCTTTTAGTCCCTGTGACTGTCTACTACATGTCACTGTTTAGTTTTTCCCACTGCCATGCGATAAGCTAAAAATGACAATTAAGATTACTTTGACTTATACTTTGAAATAACTTGTGTTACAGACATGAATGATATTGCACAGCTTGTTGAGTAGACATGAGCTATAATTTTTAAACAATAATAGACAATAATAAAAGACAATTAAAAATAGATGAGCCAGCAGAAAAGATCCGAAAGATCCCGCAGACAGTGAATGAGGATCTCGAGTCACATCTAGAGACCAACACCAGAGACTTAGGAATGGGTTTTTTTTTATTCACCCCTAAATAACACTGTAGCAACTGCATAGCAACATGCTAAAACTCAATCACTCAAAACTCCTTAGCAACTCTAACAATGCCCTAGTAAAGACCCAGAACACAGATCCAGCAATGACCTTGCAATGTCCTAACAACCATTCAGAACACTTTAGCAACCACATAGCAAAACTCAGCCAATCCCCTAGAAAAACACTAGCATTTATGATGGGGGGGGTTACACTGATGCTTTAGAACATATAACAATTAAACAGAAGCAATGTGTTTGAGATATAACAGTAAAGATATATTCCACAACATTTCCACGCATGCCATCCATCTAAGATGTTTCTCCAGCCCGAGATGCTGGGATAGGTATAGGTCTAGTAGCGGTTTGGAGAATGACTTGATAGACAAAACTTTTAGGATTGTTTTTTACGTACATTGTTTTCAGACGCTGGGATAAATGGTACATTTTGAAATATTGCTATGTTGTTCTGAAGGTGATAGTTTTGATATCATTATTCAGGTTCTTTATGAACCCAACAATTAAAATGTCAATACAATGCAATTGTACAATCCAATTGTTGCTATATAAAACTCAGCTATAAGACTTAAGATGTAGTTGCATTTACAATTTCACAAGGACAACAGTTGTAGGCTAACAACAAATACAGCCTATTTGAGCTTTACAGAGTGATACAAACAAACACACATCTACTAACCTTTATAACCTTTCTGTCTCAGACATGAGTAAAGACAGATACCTAGCAACGTATCACTCCATGGTATACCATAGACAAAAGAGTCATTTCTATGCTTTTTTTTGCCCAGAAGGCTACTTTCTCTCTTCTTCTTCTTTTTTTCTTTCTTTTTTTTTTTTTTTTTTGGTTTTTGAAAACAGCACTAAAACCAACATTATGAAGCTCTAGACTCGGAGCCTGCATCTACAGTCCCCCACCGAGAGTCCCGCATTCTCAGACCCCTCGTTTTTCGAACACAGCGCCTCCTGCTGTTCGAAAGATCGTATAACATCCGCACACAGAGTACAGCGCACGCTAAATCCAAATGCAATTAAAAACAATAGGATGCAATATTACGGTCTCCAAATAAATTATCCAATAAATATTTGCGTTCCCCGCTTAATGCATGTGCCAAAAAAACTCTCATTGTTACTGATGGAAGGGATACAATTACAGATTGAACTATCTTCTGAAAAATAGTATGTGATATTATATTGCTACAATGTTTTTTTTATATATTTTTTTTTAATTTAGGTTCCAATTTTTCTTTCAGTTCAACCTATAATGGTCTAATTAACATTCCCATGCTAACATTACAAAATCTGTTTTTTGATCTTTTGAATGTGAATCAAATCAAATCAGAAAAGACAAAACACCAAAAATTAACAATTTCTGTACTTTATTTAATGATCACCTAAACATCACCTTGCTGTAAAGAAAAAAGGAAGAAAAAAACTGTGTTCGTGACTTTACTTTTTGTCTTCAATTGCATTAAAAAACCTCATTTATAAGTCTCTTTGCATAATCATAAAATGATATGTTGCTGGTTTCGGCAGGGGCAACTCCATCGATGTATGTATGGTGTACTCTGGAATAGCCTACAACAGTATAGGCCTGATAGCACATGTCTTGTGATGTTTCAAAAAGAAAGAAAAAAGATGTTTGCCAATGTTACCTTCATGTTGCACTGCTCTGTTGAAGTGTCCTTTGAGATGTTTTTGAACTTTAGAATACTTTGTGGGTTTGAAATATATGGGGGCACAAAATGGGCAGTGAAAATAACTGCAGTATTTATGACATATCTACAAAAAGTCCAAGCTAAAGGCTGACGTTAGCTATCAAAATATTTTCGGGGGGAAAGGGCGAAAAAACAGGCCTACATTAACGGCTCAAATCTTGTTACAAACTATCTTTACAAATATTAAATGGACTATTCATATGTTGTATCAATGAGCTAAATTAGTTTTATTAAAAACTAAAGCAAACTAAGAGTAGGCTACTACGATTCGCTAAATAAAATTGAAAATAGCCTACTCACGTTTTGGCTTAATTTGTTCACATGTTTCTTCACATTTCTTCACATCTGGGTGCAGGGGGGCTGTAATGCAGGTCTCCGAGTCTGCAGCGTCATACTACTCACTAAAACAGCAACACTCCTGCCCTCTACTGGTTATAAAGAAGCTGTTTAAAGGGATAGTTCACCCAAAAGTGAAAATTCTGTCATCATTTACTCACCCTCAAGTTGTTCCAAACCTGTATGAATTATACCATGGAAGTCAAGGGTCCCATTAACTGTTTAGTTACCCATATTCTTCAAAATATCTCCTTTTTTTTGTTCAGCAGAAGAAAGAAATATGCAATGGTTTCACTTTATTTGCATGATCCCTTCAACACATTCTGTTGACTATAAGTAACGTTGCACCTACATCTCTACTAACTCGCCCTAGAATATTAGTTGAGTATTAGTAGACTGGTAGGGTTAGGATTAGTATAAGTTGACATGCAGTTGCAAAATTACTTATAGTCAGTAAAGTGTTTGTTGGAGGAACATCAGAAAGTCTACTTAAACTCTAATGAGAGCTAATTGACATATAGTTGCAAAAGGGACCATCAAAATAAAGTGTTACCACAAATATACAGATTTGGAACTACTTGAGGAAATGACAACATTTGTGTTTTAACTATCTCTTTAACTTCATCTCCAGAGAGACCTTTTTACTTGTGTTATTCCACACATTTAACAGACCAAATATACACACTAATGCGTATTCAATTTTGTTGTGTGTTTTTGTAATGTGTATCATATATGTATAATTGTGAGTATTTCAATTGTGAGAGTGCATGACTACTACCTTGGCCGGGTCTCTCTTGTAAAATTGATAATTTGATCTCATTTGTACTTTTATTTAACTCGGGTTTTATGTAATATTTAGGGGTGGATACAATAAAATGTATTCATTCAGCAGATGCTTTTACCCAAGTGACTCTGAAATGTGAATTACTGAATCGATGATAATTGGATGTCTCGCTCAAACAGTAGGTCTTACCATTGTGCATCCAGGAGATCTCGGGCAGTGGTCTACCCTCTACTGAACACTGCAGGATAAAGTCCTGTCCCTCTGATACCGAACAGTCTTTCAGCGTAGAGCTGAACACCGGGGCTTTAGCTTCCACCCTCGCACCTACAACACACATACACGAATACACATATAATGGAGCCTTTAAAACCACAAGTATTCATTACTTAGTCTTACACTGTAACAACGGCACCTTAAAATAAAGTGCTACATACTTTTATTCAGAAAGGACACACTAAATTGATCAAAAGAGACAGTAAAGACTTATAATGTTTCTAACAAAAGATTTATTTTCAAATAATTGCTGTTCTTGTGAACTTTCTAATCATCAAATAATCCTGGAAAAAAAATGAATTGCGGTTTTCAAAAAAAAATATTAAGTTTTCAACATTAAATCAGCATATTCGAATGATTTCCGAAGGATCACGTTAAGGTATAATCCATGTATGTATTTATGAGCTCATAAAAAAGATCTAAATTAGGAAAATCTAAAGTCATGGCACAATACAGGACAGATCAATAATATATATATATATATATATATATATATATATATATATATATACATACACAGTATATATAAAGATCAATAAATTGTTTTTTTTTATTATAGTTAGTATAGTAATAATAATAATAATAATATAGTTATTATTAGTTTTAATGTAAAGTAATGTAACTAACTTGACAAAATATACATAATTAAAAAGGTATAATACTCAAGCTTCAATTTTTGTCCTTTGTTTTACTATAATAATGTCATGGTGTCAGTCATTTGTACAATGTATTGGTACCTTTAATATGAAATTTAATACAAAGCCGAAGAAGGTGAAGTGAGTCAAAGAAAGAAGCAAGGGGTGTCAAAGAAAGGGGTGGCTAAAAGGTTTAATGGAAATACAGAAAATGTAGAGGTGATCAGACCTGTGACTTTAGCAGCACTGCATTTTCAGACTGCAACAAGGCCAAGTTTGTTTTCCCCTATAAAGATATTTCATGCAGACCCATTTCTAGCAACTATACGGTGAAGCCCTTTTTTTATTTCTTTTTTTTTTTTTTTTTTTTTCAAAAAGATTTACGTCTGTGTGTGTGAGGGGGGGGGGGGTGTAACAGGTTATAGAAAATGTAGATGTAGCAAACGAGTACTTAATTCTTACGCTTGACAGTCAGACTCCAGTGGACTGCAGTCTTTCCTTTTTTGTTGGTAGCAGTGCAGCCATACTGTCCCGTGTCAGTAATGTGAGCGTTCTCCAGACACAGGACATGCAGACTGCCCTCCTGACGTGTGCTGACGCCTGATGTCTGTCTGAGAGGAGCACCATCTTTCACCCAGCTCACTGTTGGCACTGGAGACCCAGACACTGAGAGAGAGAGAGAGAGCAAAGAATGAGATCATTCATTTACATTACTTTTCACAGCTTTGCGCAACATCTACAGTTCTTCTTACATATTGTACTGCAAATTGGTGTAAAATTTTCATTTGTATACATTTGTTTCCCCAACAAATAACCTACTTATTATTATAATCATTGCAGAATATCACATATATTTCCAGAAATTAAAATCAGAAGCTTTAAGGATTTAAGGACAAAAATCTTAACCTAAGTAAAGATCATAAATGTAAATATTCAAGACCCTCTCAAGACTTGTATTAAGAGACTTAGGTGCGTTATTGTTTTCATGAGAAGGTTATACACATAAAGATAAAAATAAAAGATTAAGGAATATATTACAAATTTTTAATGCTTTTATTTTATTTATGCTTAGCAAACCCTTGTGAAAAAGAAGTACACTTTAGCATACTTTTGAAAAGAATATCTTATTACGGAAACAATATATTTAAAACTAACATACTTTAGTGCAAACATTGCAATTAAACTAAAATGATTTATAATATTTACATTAAATGCACTTTTAAACAGAGTGTTTTTTGACCCTCTTAAGAAGAACTTAACAACATTTTTATCTGTATTTCCTCTTTATAGATGTAATTTTATAATTAGTTCTATTATGTTTAAAATCTGGTTAAGGGTTTAACTGCTGAATGTACTGACAAACATTTATGGTAAACTAAAATATGCTTTAATGTCACGTGTATGTTATGTTTTTTTTAATACACAAAAGCAATGATGAAGTTGCAATTTAGAACATTTAAAATATATTACAGTAACTTTATATTATTATTAAATAACCCACTACAGTTTACATTGCATTCAAGTACTTTACATGTGCATTAATACATTAGTCAACAGATACAAATGAGTGTAATTTAAATCATAAAAAATATTATTAAAACATACTCTACTTTAAAACTTTTAATTTGAAAATATCACAAAGTCTCTATGGGCCCTATCTTCCATCGAGCACAATTGACTTTGTACACCGACACAATTATCATTCCTATTTTGCACCCGACGCACAGCGGACTTTTATCTCTACAGACGTACGTCGGAAAATTAGGGAATGAACTTACGCTCCCGGGGGCGGTTCAGCGAAAAGAAACAATTCCGCCACAGGCCAGGAAAAACCTACTCTAAAGTCAGTGGCACGTTATTCAGGTCCTGTGGCGAATACTTGGCCATGATGTAGCATGTGCACAACGCGTATGCACTTTGCTTCTCTCATTTACACAGATGCAACAGTTCCCATTTTTGCAAACCATTCATAATTACAAGGAAAAATATTACCACATAAGGGAAATCATTGTGGTGTCCATGTCCAAGATGTGAAAAAATAGGCATAAATCTAGCTTACACATTTGCCCAAAATAGTATTCTAAGCCTGTTTAACCGAAGCTAATTTGAGTGGGTTTCTCCCATCCCCATACAATGTCACTACTCTGTCTTTTACACCCCTGACATGAACGTTGGTCTCCTCGGCTGTGAACCGCTCCTGGTGTGTGCCTGGCAGATCCGCCATTATAATAGCAATCCGCCATGGAACAAGCGTGCCTGCTTTTAAAGGGAATGTGAGATGACACTCTGATTGGTTTATTGCACGTTACGCCCAAACCACACAAAGTTACTTGCGTTTCGCGTTTGATACTTAAATCGTTAAAATAGGGCCCAATGAGTACATTTTTATTTAATGAATAATATATTATCTGCAAGTGCATTTATTTTTCGAAATATACTTCATGTTAGATTATTACAACTGCATATGCAGAGTTCAGATAAAAAAGCCTCTAAATGAAGAATGTTAATTTTTATCAAGCTTGTATATTTAAGTTCAGTAATTTCACTTAAATGGCAATGAAGATGACCTATGAATTGCCATTTAAGTGAAATTACTGAATTTAAACATACAAGCTTGATAAAAATGATTATTCTAGAAGAGAATTTCAAATGGCACTTTTTTGCATCTGAACTCTTCATATTCAATACAATTAGGCGCACTTCATTTTTAAAAGGAAATTAATTTTTCTTCCAGAAGATAAAGTCGAGACATGTGAACAGAGGTACTGTATAGACAGCAGCTGGTCACATCATAACAGCATTGACCAATCAGCATTCAAGACCAGAACTAAAGACTAACAGACTCTATATTTGATCCCAGTCACTTCAGTTCACTAGACTCACCTTGGCATCTGAAAGTGACCTTTTCTCCCTGCATGACCTCTTGGCTCTGAGGCTGATAGTCAAAACTTGGGAGAGTTTCTAGAACATCCACGTTGCTCTCTCTGGTTTGTTGGCTTTTGTCTCTGCTGGACTCCACTCGTGATGGTTCAGGCATCTGTCCTGGAGCTCTGAACCTATCCGAAACTCTCTTCGTGCCATGTGACTCAATCTTTACAATGTTTTGATTTCTTACATTGACAAAGTTTGATGTCTTGTCACTGGCTGGTGATCTTCCATCTGTGGATTTGCTGATGGGTTGTGAGGATAGGGTTGATGTTATTTTTGGTGTGTCAGCTCTGGTCATGACGGGAACACTGGCTACAATGGTAGTGGACAGTGGTGTGCATGTTTCTGTAGTTACGGTGCGGACAGATGTGCTAGAGGTTTTTTGTTCAATGTCAAGACCGTTGGTGCTGTGCTTGGCCGGATCCTGAAATCGTTTGGGAACGCTAAGGAAAGAAAGATCCTAAAGTCAAGTGAACAGTTGTTGCTGTGTTTCCACCCAGCCATTTTGATGCTCTTTTTGGGATATTGCATAAAGAAACTACTATAGATGGAAACACCAAGATGCACATGAACTAAAAAAAAAAAAGTGATCGTTGAGATTTTTAATTAGATTAAGAAAACATGACCATAAACTACAATGGAAACACATTTACAGAATAAATTAAAGGGTTAGTTCACCCAAAAATGAAAATTCTGTCAGTATTTACTCACCCTCATGTTGTTAGAGGTTTGGAACAACATGAGGGTGAGTAAATGCTGACAGAATTTTCATTTTTGGGTGAACTAACCCTTTAAATAAATGCGCATAAAAAAAAAACAACAACACATGACTGTTGGACTGCGATGGAACAGCATAACTGGACAAACCAGCACAGCAATTAATGTTTAGTCGACTAGGGGGAACTAGACTAGAGCAAGGTAAAAAAAAAAAAAACTAAACCAGGACCATTTGTATTTCTTTATGTATACATCAAGAAATACAAATAAATAGATTTAAAAAAATAAGTAAATAAACTAATAAAAAAGAATGAAATAAACAAAAAATACAGCAATTCAAATGGAAATTAAATATATTCAATATAATGTATTAGAAATATTTGTAATTCATACTATTCATTTATTTTTAGATATTAAAAGAAAAAAAAGTAGAAAAAAAAGAAGTCTTACTTACATGGCTGTCTCAGTGTCTCCATCTGCAACAGATCAACACAATGAGCCATAAGAATTTCAGACTTTAAACTATGTTTTGTTTTAATCTTTGTGACGATCAGCAGCCGTGGTGCCCTCGAGAGCCACTAGAGGGCATCCTCTCCCCATGTTTGTTTCCCCATGGACTCTTTGTGTTTCATTATGTTCAGCTGTGTTTCATTATTGGTTATTGAGTTCCTTATTTAAGCCTGAGTTTTCCCTGTGTCCCTTGCGAAGTCTTGTTACCCTGTAAGCGTACAATTCCGAGCGTTATTCCCTGTTCTGTGTCTCCGTGTTTCCCTGGACTCTTGACCCTTGCCTGTTTCCTGGACTGCTCTCGAACCTGTGCTGCCTGCCTCGACCATTGCCTGTTTAGACCACGAGTTTCTGGATTGCCCCTTTGATTAAGTGTTTGCCTGTGTTCATGTCTGCTTGCTTTAATAAAGTGCTGCACATGGATCCGACCGTCTCTGTCCGTACGTTACAGAAGACTTCGCCAAACGAGGATCCAGCAGACTTTCTGCATCTATCCGCCGTGGTCAAGACCCGCTCTTCAATGCTAGCCTCTCATAGTTCTCAGCTGGCGAGACTAACTTCTCTCCTCGAGGAACTAGCTAGCTCCGTGCAATCATGGTCTCCGCAGAGCTCAAGCACAGCGGCTAATCAAGCCCAAACCCCCGCTGCACCTGTTCCACCGCAACCCAGTGTGAGTACCGCATGCAGTAATTCCAGTACGCCGTTTCCCGAGAAGTTTAATGGCTCACCTGAAGCGTGTGAAGGATTTCTGCAGCAGTGCAGCTGGTACATGAGTCATCAGCCCCAGTTATACGCCTCGGATATCGACCGCGTTTCTTTCATCTGCTCACTGTTAACTGGAAAGGCTCTGGAGTGGGCAGGCACGTTTTGGGAACCAGGTCGGATGTCGTTTCCTCCTTTCGACGTGTTTACCGCCCTGTTCAGAAAGGCTTTTGAACTCCCCGCAGAAAAGGAGGGTCTCGAGGAACTGCTCTTTTCCCTGCGCCGGGGAGTTTCGTATGCGGCGGATTTCTCTCACTCACTCCGCACGCAGCATAAGCCTCAGCTCGCTAAACTGTTTGATCCTCCCTTAAGGACCGTCAGAGGAGCTTCTAAGCATATCGTTCCTGGCAAAACCACTCATGTCGGACCCCTCGAGCCCGTATCCCGCACTAGCCCTGTTAAAAGTGCTGTTCCTAAGACAGCGGAGGTGTCGCGGGTCGAACCGGAGTTTGAGCGCGTGCCAGCCGACTCGAGTGAGTCAAGTGCCGAGCTGAGTGAATCAAGTGAGTCAAATAGCGAGCTGAGTGAATCGAGTGCCGAGTCAAGTGAGTCAAGTGCTGAGCCGAGTGAATCAAGTGTGTCCAGTGTTGAATTTAGTCTGTCCAGTGAGTCTTCAGTTCAAGTATTTGAATCTCCTCTTCAAGTGAGCGCTGCATCTCCTCTTCAAGTGAGCGCTGCATCTCCTCTTCAAGTGAGCGCTGCATCTCCTCTTCAAGTGAGCGCTGCATCTCCTCTTCAAGTGAGCGCTGCATCTCCTCTTCAAGTGAGCGCTGCATCTCCTCTTCAAGTGAGCGCTGCATCTCCTCTTCAAGTGAGCGCTGCATCTCCTCTTCAAGTGAGCGCTGCATCTCCAGTTCAAGTGAGTGAGTTGTCCAGCCAAGCGAGTGTGTCTAGCCCTGTGACGCGCCGCCGCAGGAGGAGAAGGAGGACTCGTTTGGTTCGCCAGGCCCCGGTGAGCGTGCCCAGACTCCTCGCCCTGCCGGCCCGCCGCTGCGCCTCGCCCTGCCGGCCCCGCCTCTGCGCCTCGCCCTGCCGGCCCCGCCTCTGCGCCTCGCCCTGCCGGCCCCGCCTCTGCGCCTCGCCCTGCCGGCCCCGCCTCTGCGCCTCGCCCTGCCGGCCCCGCCTCTGCGCCTCGCTCTGCCGGCCCCGCCTCTGCGCCTCGCTCTGCCGGCCCCGCCTCTGCGCCTCGCTCTGCCGGCCCCGCCTCTGCGCCTCGCTCTGCCGGCCCCGCCTCTGCGCCTCGCTCTGCCTGCACCCTTCAAGCTCCGGGAGGCCTTTCCTGTACCCGTTCACCACCCAGAGGTTCCTCCTGGGAATTTCCCCAAGTATTTTTTTGGGGGGGGCAGTAGGTACTCTGTGGGGGCCATGGAGGTGATCCTGACATGGACCTCTGAGTCCGTGAGGGCCATGGAGGCGAGGCTGTCATGGACCTCGCCTGTGTCTGCTCCGCCCTGGCCGCCATCACGTCCTGCTCCTTCCTGGTCACCCACGCTCCACGGCCCCAGGCCTCTCCATGTGCCTGGCCTCCTGCCTCTCCATGGGCCTGGCCCTCCATCCCAGCCCCCGTTGACCTCCCCCCGGAGCTCTTAGGAGCGTCTGGAAGCCGCTCCTTAGAGGGGGGGTTATGTGACGATCAGCAGCCGTGGTGCCCTCGAGAGCCACTAGAGGGCATCCTCTCCCCATGTTTGTTTCCCCATGGACTCTTTGTGTTTCATTATGTTCAGCTGTGTTTCATTATTGGTTATTGAGTTCCTTATTTAAGCCTGAGTTTTCCCTGTGTCCCTTGCGAAGTCTTGTTACCCTGTAAGCGTACAATTCCGAGCGTTATTCCCTGTTCTGTGTCTCCGTGTTTCCCTGGACTCTTGACCCTTGCCTGTTTCCTGGACTGCTCTCGAACCTGTGCTGCCTGCCTCGACCATTGCCTGTTTAGACCACGAGTTTCTGGATTGCCCCTTTGATTAAGTGTTTGCCTGTGTTCATGTCTGCTTGCTTTAATAAAGTGCTGCACATGGATCCGACCGTCTCTGTCCGTACGTTACAATCTTATTGCTGGATAATATTAAGACATTAATGAAATGCATATTGCTATATTTACTGCCCTGACATCTGTGGAAATTGTGGCAATTGTAAAATGTAATATTCATACAATGAGAATAATTTTAAAATTATGAGAAATAAAGTTGCAACTGTGAGCTTTAAAGGCACACTATGCAAGATTTGTACCTTAACATAACAGCTTCAAAGTCGTTTTGGTGGTAAACAAAGTCACAGTAGGGCGAATCATCCTGGTAGTAAAGCTTTGAGGGGGACGCCGCCGGAAAAACCAGCAATGCAAGTTTGTTGCAAGCCCCTGACAAATCTCGCGACAATCCCCAAATGCTTTACGGTGACCATGTTAGACACATTAACAACAACATACTGTATGAAGCCACTTGCGCGCATCCAAGAAAACTCGGTCAGACTCAGAAATGTCAAGAAAAAGAGAATCGGACCATGCTTGAAATCAAACAAGAGTCCCAATCGGTCAGGCTTTCACTCGTTGGCGCGAGCTTAAAAAGCAGCACTGGATGCAACGCGATGCTGACTTGGCGATCTTGTTGATGGACTTGTAAGCAAATCTCTTATTTGTAAACTTGTTTTCATTCTATGTTGTATGTTGTTGCGCTGTTTTTTTAGTATGTCATTTTTACGGTGCCGTTCATTCATCTATTGTTGATTTTCATTTCATTTTCCGTGTGATTGTTGATAGACAAGTTTAATAATTGTCACATATGTCTAGCTAGCTTTCGATTACCAGACCTGTAAACAGACTTCCTAACATTACAAACAGTCGTTTTTCTTAGTTCCCTTTCGAAGGGAACTCAACAATACGTCGAATGACGCAATGGGGAACGCCTCAGGCGTGACAGGTGTCTGAAATCAAATATCAACTCACAGTAATCAGGTTGACCGGCGACAGCCCGTGCATCATCAGCTTGAATGATGAGCGCGTCAATCTGGATGTATAAGAAGGGCACCTTGAAACCGTGACAACATCTTTTCGTCTTCAGGGACTGTTTGACTGTGTGATAGTATCAACGATTAAGCGCGCAGAGACGTGGAGAAACACTTTGCGCGAGTGTGCCGACTTGTGTCCAGATATTTGACACTGGAGGATTCACACGATCTGTGCGTGTTCTGCCTGAGAGAAGAGCATTCGCGGGAAGCTCTCGAGGGAGTTTTTTGCGCGAACTGAGAGTTTTCCTTTCAGAACTCTCTGCTCTCGTCTGACCCACTTCTCGAGGGAAGTGGGCGCGGCATCTGAACCCCGCGGTTCCGGTTCCCGCTCGGGCTGAGGCTCAGTGGCGGTTGAGCTCGTGGAGCTTTCAGATGGAGCTGGCAGATTATCGGGAGAGGGGCGTTAACCTCGCGGATGATCTACCAGCTGACGAGGGTAAGTTACAGATTAATGTTGAACATCTAAGAAGAGAGAAAATGAGCGCTCTCTCTCTTTGGTGAATCTGTAACTGTTCTCTTCGGGCAGGGCAGGAGTTGGCTGTAATATATATATATATATATATATATATATATATAGAAAAGGATGTCAGTTTGGTTGAGACCGAACCATTTCAGCCCTCCTGCCCAGTGTACGCTGAGCTGGTTGACATTATGGGGCGCGCCACAGACAGATTGCAGTTGCAGTGGAGGCGCGTCTGGGAGGAACCCGCTCATGGTATTTTGGATGGCTGGTTCCTCCCCACCCATAAGCCACCAGCCCGGATGAGCCTTCCATTGCTTTCTGATCTCCACGCTGGGATTGAGAGGGTATGGAAGAATCCGTTCTCCTCACGTCTCTATCTGCATCAGCGGGCTAGTTTCGCTGCTGTGGAGGGAGACGTGGAGCACGGATATGTGTCGATGCCGCCAGTGGACGAGACGTTGGCTAACTATCTCGTCTCTGGTTGGTCCTCTTCACTAAGAGCTCTGACCCTGTCATCCAAGCTGCTCAAGACATCTTCATGCTTGAATGACAGAGCGTACACGGCAGCAGGTCAGGCAGGTGCGGTTCTGCACGCCCTTGTGGTCCTCAGGCCTACCAGACTGATCTGCTGCGGGACTCCGGGCCACCAAGCAATCTGCTGTTCCGTCAGTGCTATGGTGGCCACGGAGAGACATCTGTGGGAGCTCCCACATACTGTGGTTGCCGGGTTACAGGCCTCACCAGGCCTTCCTGGTTATGAGCTCCCACTGATTGTGGTCGCCAGGTTACAGGCCTCACCAGGCCTTCCTGGTTATGAGCTCCCACATGCTGTGGTCGTTGGGTTACAGGCTTCACCATGCCTTCCTGGTTATGAGCTCCCACATACTGTGGTCGCTAGGTTAAAGGCCTCACCAGGCCTTCCTGGTTATGAGCTCCCACACATTGTGGTCGCCAGGTTACAGGCCTCACCAGGCCTTCCTGGTTATGAGCTCCCACATACTGTGGTCGCCAGGTTACAGGCCTCACCAGGCCTTCCTGGTTATGAGCTCCCACATACTGTGGTCGCCAGGTTACAGGCCTCACCAGGCCTTCCTGGTTATGAGCTCCCACATACTGTGGTCGCCAGGTTACAGGCCTCAATAGGCCTTCCTGGTTACGAGCTCCCACACATTGTGGTCGCTACGTTACAGGCCTCAAAGGGGCCTTCCTGGTTATAGTCCTCATGTTTCAGAGCTCCCCACACAGGGGGTCATCAGGTCTTAGGTCTCATGGACCTTCCTGATTTTGATCCTTCTCTTACTTCCTCAGTGCTTAAAGCGAGCACTGGGTGGAAAATCGTGGATTGAGTGTATGATTCCCGTTGTTTTGAGGTTGAGTCACACTCTCCGGAGGATCCCGTCTCTGTGATCCGAAACTTGATGGTTTCTGCCAGCTTCGCGGGCCTTCAGTTTTTGGATGCCTTTCCTAGGCAATTTCCAGTGGCTCTGTCTTGGACGGACAGGCTATGGCCAGACTGTGTGTCTTAGTACAGATCACCAGGCCAGCCTGGGGGCATTTCAGGAGGAGTGTTCTCCTGAATAGTGACTGGCTGGGGGTTCCTTTGGCCCCCTAGCCACACTCCCTAGAAGGGACCCCTTCTATTTTGAAGTTGTGGTCCTAAAGCCTTTGAGCTGGCCCCGATTTACCCACGTTATTACGTTCTGGTTTTTCTTGGTTCATTAGCTTGGGCTATGACCGGTAGGGAGTGCTGTCACTGACAGCCCGATGTAACATAGGGTGAGTGGTTTCAGTGTTCCTTGGAATTACTGGTTCTGACTGTTGTCACTGCCTTTTTCGGCATGCACTCCCCTCAGCATGGCGGAGTGGGTATTTCGTTCCCCATTGCGTCATTCGACGTATTGTTGAGTTCCCTTCGAAAGGGAACGTCTCAGGTTACGACTGTAACCTATGTTCCCTGAGAACAGGGAATGAGACAATACGTCTCGTTGCCATGCCTCGGGGCCTGCCTGCAACAGTCCCTTCAGACGATAGGATGTTGTCACGGTTTCAAGGTGCCCTTCTTATACATCCAGATTGACGCGCTCATCATTCAAGCTGATGATGCACGGGCTGTCGCCGGTCAACCTGATTACTGTGAGTTGATATTTGATTTCAGACACCTGTCACGCCTGAGGCGTTCCCCATTGCGTCATTCGACGTATTGTCTCGTTCCCTGTTCTCAGGGAACATAGGTTACAGTCGTAACCTGAGACGTTTTTTTGGTTATGTTTTATTGCCTAGTTTGGCACAAGAGATGTGTATTTATCACGTAACGTTAGTCCTGTGTCTGGTTCGAATTTCTTATGGCATTCGTATGTGCTTATACAAAATTTAGCTGACTAACAGTGCACTTCCCGACAGTAACTTTACTTCAAATTGTGTTGATTATAAGTCAATTAAATCTTGACGCTGTTGATGTTGAGTCCTGCGATTATCATGAGGACATACTCAATATCTCACATTATTATTAGGACATATATAAGCCTAGAGGTTGTAAATAGTGTAATTGAGCACAATTTGCTAACTATTATGAAAAATTGTAATAATCATGTCTAATGAAATCATAACGGCCAATGTTATGAAATAATGTGATGTACATTTAACTTTATTGACAACTTTTTGTAATGTTTACATTACAATCAAAAACAAAAATGAAATTATACATTAGTCCGAACAGTCGTTGCAGTGTTTCAACCCACCCATTTTGATGCAATTTTTGGGATATTGCATAAAGAAACTACTATAGATGGAAACACCAAGATGCACATGAACTAAAAAAAAAAAATGCGATCGTTTGAGTTGGATTTTTAATTAGATTAAGAAAGCATGACCATAAACTACAATGGAAACACATTTACAGAATAAATTAAATAAATGCGCATCAAAAAAACAACAACCAAAAAACATGACTTTGCAATGGAACGGCATAACTGGACAAATCAGCAACTAATGTTTAGTCGACTAAGGGGAACTATACTAGAGCAAGGTTTAAAAAATAAAAATAAAAAAAATAGACCAGGACCATTTGTATTTCTTTATATATACATAAAGAAATACAAATAAATAGATAAAAAAAATAAAAATAATAAACTAATAAAAAAGAATTAAATAAACAAAAAACACAGCAATTCAAAATACTAGAAATTAAATATATTCAATATAATGTATTAGACATATTTGAATTATATATGTGTGTGTGTGTGTGTGTGTGTGTGTGTGTGTAATGGCAGGGGTGGGGGGTATATTGGCTAATATGACTGAGATCTTGGACTTTATACAAACATATTGCTCTAGATGTAGCATCACACAAAAGATACGCAAAAGATTTTGATGCATTTTGATTCATTTCAATATCTCACATTATTATTAGGACATATATAAGCCCTGAGAGGTTGTAAATAGTGTAAATGAGCACAATTTGCTAACTAATGTTTAATGAAATCATAACGGCCAATGTTATGAAATAATGTGACGTACATTTAACTTTATTGATGTCATCTGACATTTTGTAATGTTTACATTACAATCAAAAACACAAATGAAATTATACATTAGTCCTACACTATAAGCTATTTACTTGTGATTTAGCAGAAATTGTGTAAAAACGTTATAAGCCAGCAAATAGGCAATTTTATTATTATAAAGTAGTTTAACACTTGACATATTGTTATTATTAACCAATTACCATCATCAGTAGTTCAGTAGACTGCAGTAACAGGGGAGTTACAGTTATTTAAGTACTCCACAGTGGCTCTAGGGGTCGCTGTTTCACAAAAACATCAGAGCTGCATGGTGTGGCTTTAAAGCTGCAATTATGTCAATGACTTCTGCATTTATAAAACACATCACCAAAGTATACGTTTTCAAGTTTTACATGAGTAAAATTGAAATAGATGGTGGTAGTTAGAACCCATGGGGAAGTGGCCTACATTGGCCTGGTCTAGAATCCATTCGTAATCTGTTTCTCCATCAATACACCCTTCTCTTACCTTGTACAATGAGTTCAGCAGTTGCAGAGGCTTTCCCAGCACTGTTGGCCACCAGACAGGTGTACAGGCCAGCGTCCTCTGAGCACACATGGCGAATCTCCAGGAAATGCATTCCTGATCTCTCAAACATGTTATAGTGATCCGATGGCTGGATCTTATCTTCTCCCTGACAGAGGAAACACAAGGAATGAATATTCCCACACTACCTGCACTTGACCCAAACTGTCATTTCAAATATTGGTTAATCATGTCTCACCTTACACCACTGCACCAGTGGCTGGGGTCGCCCTGTGATCTTGGCAGAGAATTTGCCACTCTGTCCAACTTTGAGATACAGGCGAGAAGGTTTAGTCACAAATTTTGGGGGGCTTTCACCCCAGATACTGGGTCTATTCTCAACTGCAGGAACACCCATGGATCTGCTGGTGACAAAAGAGAGAAAATATATATAATGGTTCTGATTCACATGACTAAACCCAGGAACATACATTTATTGCATGCACATGCGGTTTCTTTTCAAACTAGCTCAATTATGTCCTCAGGTGGCAGGCGGAAATGGCCAAAATGTTGACCAAATGTTAATTGTGAATGCATATTTGACAGAAATTTCATAACTTATCAATTTTTGTCAGATGTTTTTTTTCATTACCAACCAGCTCCAAGATGAAGTGCAACAATACATTTGATTTTAAGCTAAGAGAAATTTGACTACGACAATTTTGTGAATCGTATTCTTCACATGATGATAATTGGAAAAAATAAATTAACAAAAACAGTAACAGTAAACAATGTATAACTAACCACCAAAATGATGTGGCATGTTGTGTATTTCATATTACAGTTTTTCTCAATTGCTTACACACTATAACCAGGCTTTTGAACTAAAATTTCAAAACCATAATGCCATTTATCAAAAAGCACACCCATTTCACTAAACTATAAACAATATTCCCTGTTTTGACACATGAGTAAGAATTGTTGAACTGTCACTGCAAATCTCTACACACAAATCCTTTAATATTTCATTGCCAAGACCATGTGGTAATTTAGAAAGCACTAGCATTCAATATTGTTCACTCGAGTCAGCATAGTTTCAGCTCAATTAACACACAATTAACACACATCAATCAGAACTTTCAAGATACATAAAAGTACCAGAGTCAGTTCATTTGAGTTTTGGAACAATGGATACACAAAGAAATAAAGGAAGAGGTTGAGGAGGGAGCAGAAGAGGACGTGGTGAAGGAGGAGGGAGAGGAAGAGGACGTGGTGAAGGAGGAGGAAGAGGAGGTGGTGAAGGAGGAGGGAGAGGAAGAGGACGTGGTGAAGGAGGAGGAATAGGACGTGGTGAAAGAGGCGGGAACGGAAGAGGACATGGTGAATGAGGAGGGAGAGGAAGAGGACGTGGTGAAGGAGGAGGAAGAGGACGTGGTGAAGGAGGAGTGAGAGGAAGAGTACGTGGTGAAGGAGGAGGAATAGGATGTGGTGAAGGAGGAGGGAGCGGAAGAGGACGTGATGAAGGAGGAGGGAGAGGAAGAGGACGTGGTGAATGAGGAGGAATAGGATGTGGTGAAGGAGGAGGGAGCAGAAGAGGACATGGTGAAGGAGGAGGAAGAGGACGTGCTGAATGAGGAGGGAGCGAGAGGACGTGGTGAAGGAGGAGGAAGAGGAAGTGGGCGTGGTGAAGGAGGAGGGAGAGGAGGTGGTGAAGAAGGAGGGAGAGGAAGAGGAAGTGGTGAAGGCAGATGAAGAGGATGTGGTGAAGGAGGAGGGAGCGGAAGAGGACGTGGTGAAGGAGGAGGTAGAGGAAGAGGACGTGGTGAAGGAGGAGGAAAAGGACGTGGTGAAGGAGGAGGGAGATGAAAAGGACGTGGTGAAGGAGGAGAGAGAGGAAGAGGACATAGTGAAGGAGGAGGAAAAGGACATGGTGAAGGAGGAGGGAGAGGAAGAGGATGTGGTGAAGGAGGAGGAAGAGTATGTGGTGAAGGAGAAGGAATAGGACGTGGTGAAGGAGGAGGGAGAGGACGAAGAAAAGGAAGAGGAAGACGTGGTGAAGGACGAGGTAGACGAGGTGGTGGTGGAGGAGGAAGAGGAGGAAGGGCAAGGAGACAAGCAGTCTCGAATGAAATTAGAGCCACTTTAGTTGATCATGTCCTTGTCCATGGCATGACTATGAGGGTGGCTGGGCAAAGAGTACAGCCGCTTCACCGTCGCCTCCATCATCAGAACTTTCAGGGAGGAAAACAGGTAGGTGTAATTACCCCTTTCACACGTAAGTTTAAAATATTCTAACTGACCCCCCAGCGTGAGTTTTTCAAAGCGACCATTATTTAGAACTTGCCACTTTAATGTTTCCATGGTGACGCGTCATTGCTTGTCACATGACACAGCACAAGAACAACACGACGCTGAATGAAGGATGATCTGCTTTTATGTAATTTTTCCTTTTTTAATAAAATTATTCACAAATGTATTAGCTATAGCATGAAACACTGATATTCCGATTGTCAAAAATGTGCAAGTGGATGGCTTTTGTTGTTTAAACATCTTTATAACAATCGCGTTAGTTGAGCTGTATACACAGTGGGCGGCGCCATTTTAGTCTATTTTTCAGTTCAGAGAATCGGATCTGTTGGATTTACAATGTCAATTCCTCCACTTCTCACGAAATACATGAAAGTAAGTGGATGGTGAACTGGGTCAAATGTTAAGCTACTTACACAATGCGTATCTCTTATTATAATTTAAAGGATTATTATTGCCGCTTCCATAGACATCAGTGTGCATTTTACAAACTTAAAATCATTGTTTTGCTAGTACTTATGTGTATTTAAATATCTGAAACCTAAAATAAACATTATGTGGTTGAACAATCAATAGTAGTTTTGATGACAGCACTGAGTGCGTCTGTCTCTGGCTCAGCGTCAGTCAGCGCGCGAGAGCAAGTTTGAATTTAGCAGTTGATCAGTTGATCATTGCCAATAATGTAATCTGCAAGCGAGAGATTCAAAGGAGAGTGTTTTAGGATAATAAGCATTTCCAAGGAATAAATGCCATCAGCCTCTCCACAATTGACCGCATCCTCTGAAAGCACCAGTTCCGGATGAAATGGGTATAGACGAATCCGACGAGCGTTCTGTGTAGGCTGCCATCTTGTGGCGACGCCATTACTGAGCTGTTACACAGGCATATAGACATATGCACCGGTATGTAAACAAACCTCGGTGATAACGCGAACTCACCCTCGATGACAGCTACAGCCAGGCAGAATGACTTGTTGGTTTGATCTGTGACTGCAGTGGCCTCCAGTCACAGATGAAGGTACAAACGATCTTACAGATTAACGTTATTTATGCAAATAGCTTGGCAAGCTAGCTAGGCTAACGTTTGCTAACGAGGAAACTATAAAAAGATCTGTCCATTTGGCAACAATAAATAAATAAATGAATGAAATCAAATAAACAAATTCATGTTTTTCATTTGTGTCCATTATTTATCTCATTTTCACATTGCAACAGGCAAGGGTAAGGTAACGTTACAGCTAGAAAGTATACATAATATCGACCAATTAGTGTTTTTAAACCATGGAAAGAGGTCAATATAACAGCGGGAGAACAATTATGTCACATAACGTTACATTTAGCTCAGGAAAGCCATTTAATGACCATAGCATGTTAATTTAATAGAATAAATAGCAAGAGAGGAGATTTTGCTGATCACTATATCACATATTTATTATATTTTTTTTACTTATGTCATTAAATAATTGTTATTATACGCAAATGTCCACGTCTTGTACTCGCCCAGGAAATCTGTAAACCTTACGACACCAGACAGGGGCAGTCGACCCGGGTATTCACAGTGTTTTCTCTTCAAAATTGAAATTTTACTGCCACCATTGAAACAATTTATAACGGAAACTGTTTACCCACTCGACATTATACAAGGGATAACGTTGTAACGTTAGTGACAGTCGTAAATCGCGGGCTGTTTATTCCAGTGGACGCAAGTTGCAACTAAAACAATAGGAGGCAATGGCGCAACGCTACCCAGCAACAGCTCAGTAATGGCGCCCCGCTTACTTCCGGTAGTTTCGCCGGATTCGTCTATACCGCGTCCCTTTTAAACGAAACTGAAAGACCAACGAGTGGAATATGTTCAGGGAGGAATTTTGTACTAAGTATTCTGTATACATCAGAGTTTATGCTGCCATTTGTGCCCTCTTGAACTGTGCTTCAGCAAAGTGATTTATTCTACTGTGTTTCATGTGTTTTGCAGAGAATCTTTGAGATTTAAGGCTGGCCTGTTCCCCATGAAATTATCTTTGTGGATGAGGCTGGTTTCAACCTGACCAAAAGAAGGAGCAGGGGGAGGAACATGATTGGCCATCGGGCTATGGTAAATGTTCCTGGTCAGCACGGAGGGAGTGTCACTATGTGCGCAGCCATCAGCCAACGAGGGGTACTCTACCGCCATGCCATTTTAGGACCCTATAACACTATGCTCCTCCTTGCTTTCCTTGACGGTCTAAGAGAGCATATGTTCCAGTTGGACCACAGGGAACCAGCACAACCAGACCACCCTCACTATGTTGTTTGGGATAATGTCAGCTTCCATCGCGCTGCTCTGGTTCGAGACTGGTTTACCAATTGTTTAACTCGAGATTTTCAAACATCTTTCTGCCTGCATACTCTCCCTTTCTAAACCCAAGAGAGGGTTTTTTTTCGGCATTGCGGTGGAAAGTGTATGATCGAGATCCTTATATGCGTGTTCACCTCCTCCAGGCCATGGAAGAAGCCTGCCTAGATGTATGCATGTCAGGGTGGATCAGGCATGCAAGAGGATTTTACCCCCGCTGCCTGGCTAGGGCTAATATAGCCTGTGATGGTAATGAGATTCTCTGGCCTCATCCAGACGAAAGACAGGAGGCTGAGGCGGAATAATCTTCTTCTTTTTTTTATTTTTGTGTTGTACTGTGTAGTACATGAATGAATAAAAATGTGCCAATGTGTCCATTGGTTGTGTCTTTTGTTCGTCATGTGAAAAGGTTTGTGAGGAGGGAACCACAAGTAACATAACTTACCAGTTTTGGAAATGTTGTTTTGAATTTATTGCACCAGTGTGTTAGACTATGTTGTAGTGTGTTATTTTGAGGGTGTCCTGTCTGAGGGCAAAGTTCGGTTTTTCAGCAAGAGTGAATGGTTTTGAGTGTAGAGCTTCATTTTGACCTGAAAATAGGTTGTTTGGAAAACTGGGTGAGACATTATGGATTTGTGTTTAATGTTTTGAGAATACGAGGCATAGTTTCAAGAAACGTGTTTAAGCAATCAAGAAAAAACTGTAATGCATGACATTTCGTCCCCTTGGAATTATAAGGTTCTATCTGCGTTCTGAGCAGTTTTGAGATATTGAGCTTCAAAGTTTTTGCATTCCATATAGGAAAATGTGTATGGGGAACATGTTTCTTTCAAACATAAAAATAACAGGGACCCTAAATGTACAAAACACATCACATAATGTAAACAAATTGCCACAGAATAAGAAAATGTGAATAACTCAATTTTGACAAAAATGTCAGATAGAACCTTATAATTCCAAGGGGACGATTTCCTTGTGTGGTGCTTTTCGGACAGTGTGTATCTCACCCTGCTCTGTTGGAGGAAGGAAGACTGTATTTTTTCACAGCATTTCCTGTGTGGGATGGAAAAGATTATTCATGAAGCTCCAAATACAATGTATACATAGATCCATAAACACACAGAATTCATTAGAAACATAAAAAAGCACATATTTCCCCTTTCCTCTTTCCCTCCTTCCTTCATAAACATGCAACAGCTGCTATTATCTGCTGCTAGTTGTAAAACATTTGAATGGCTCCATATGTTTGTGTTTTTGTGAAGTATGCTGGAGGAAGTTTATTAAGCATTTATGTGTCTATAAATCAGTACAAATGTAGTGCTGCATCGACCCTGAACACTTTTACTGCAGGTAAAAAGTGGAAAATGAGAAATGCATTACACTGTGATGTAATGTAAACTTTTAAGTACAGTTGTAATTAAAATTAGTCAACCCCCATTGCAAATCAAGTTTATTGGCATAATTGAGAGACGTTCCGCGGTTTCAATCAACAAATCAAAAAAAGTAATTGAAATTGCTCAACACAACCAATGTTTCAAGAATTCAAAGAATCACAAGAATTAACTGCATTTGGAGTCATTGCTATCAAACCTCTTGAGGTGATGTGAATGCCAGCGTGCATAATTTGATAAATAATTGCATAAACTTGAATATATCACCCAAGTCATGTTGACAACTTTTTTATGGTTCCTTTTTGAACCTGACAGCCTCAACATTTGTTATGGAAAAGAGCAGCTTGGACATTCTGCTTAACATCTTCAATCTCTAAAACACACCATCAGAACCAACCGCTCTTGTTTTTGAAAGATTATTTTCTTATTCACCATTTACCAGTAAAAATGTCTAAGATTTAAGGGTCTTATGTTGATGTCTTCTGATTGCATTTTATGTAATGTATTTATATTTTTTATGCTGCATGTTTTCCTTAAATGTTTTCTTTTTATATGCTTAAAGTTTTATTGTACAGCACTATCTGTTGCTTTTAAATGTGCAATAAAAACAACTTTTTTTACTTTTTTGTGACTCTTTTGACTTGACTGAGTACTGACTTGCCAGTAGACGAGCATTATGGAGATGTGTACTATGGCCTGTTATATATTCTATATATCCTGGCCATATATTCTCCAATTTACTTATTTTTCTTAACCAAATTATCCCAGTACCCTAACATTGCTCACTGACCCCTAGAACACTGTCTCAAGATGAGCCTCAAGCTCATTAAGATGATTATTTACCTTCCACAACGATCTCTACGGTAACCTGGCAGCTCCCAGCATCATTGACAGCTTCACAGGTGTAACGTCCTCTATCGTCATCCTGGACTTCCTGGACCACCAGACTAAAGGTTCCACGAGCACTTTGTTCCATAGAATAATGATCCCCTGCTATCAGCAGCTTACCATTCCTAAACCAGCAGACCTGGGGCTCTGGAAATCCACGTACCTGACAAAGATCACAAAGAGATAAACAATCCAACAAATGTAAAATTAGTTAAACATACATAAAGAGATATGAACGGCATTCTGGACATGCTTGAAAGCCAGTGAACAGAAACGGGAACAGCCTTCATTTTTAGCTACTCAGTAACTGATTATCAGTGTTGTCCTGCTTATAGCCCAAGAGGGAAAAAGCTCTGCTTCTAATTTCCTGAGATTTCTGCATGTGTGTGTGTGTTTTGTGATGAACAAGAGAAACATCATACCAGTCGCAGTACATCTCTTTCTGTCATTGCTCTTTCTTGATTATTATAATAATTTATGGTTTTACCAGAAATTCAAACCAACACTAGCAAAAAAGTGCAAAAAAGTAACCATTTTACTAAGGTAAATACAGGGGTTCCCAATCCTGCTCTTGGACAGTCAACTTCTTTGAGTTTTGCTCCCTTGGGCACAAAGGTATCTCCTGAAAGGGCAGCATAACATATGATTTACAGCAAAATATTTAATTACAAAAGTTCCTCTCTCCTGAGATTCCTTCATCTGATCAATTACTGAAGGCATGCAACATAGATGAATCGCTGCCTTTGATATCCCAGTCCCACAATCCTTTGCTTTCCATTCTGTGACAGACAGTTCAGCTAAAAAAATAAGAGAGTGTCTAAAAGTTGCGGTTGGTGGTCAGTTTGTGTGTAAATGTAAGTTTTTGACCAAGTTTTTGACCATTTCTAGTGAGAAAAGACTACATCAGTAATTAGAAATGTGCTTTGTTTTCTCTAAAGCTCTCTATTTTGCTGTAGATCATTAAACCGGTTTTAATTCCTCAGTTTAGTGAGATACTTTTGTGTGGAAACACTGCCTTTAAAGTCATCGCCTGATAGTCAGCTGCCTAGCTTTTCGGACACAGCCCTTGATTACCTGGTTCAGGGGCTAAGCTTAAAGGGTTAGTTCACCCAAAAATGAAAATTAAGTCATTAATTACTCACCCCCATGCTGTACCAACCCCGTAAGACCTTCGTTCGTCTTCGGAACACAAATGAAGATATTTTTGATTAAATTTGAGAGCTGTATAACTACCACATTGGCTCCTAAAGGACTGCCTCTTGACGGCCCAGAAAGTCAATGAAGAAAATGTTTAAATATCCCAAGTGACTACCGTGGCTCAACTATATGTTTATCAAGCGACGCGAATACTTTTTGTGCGAAAAAACAAACAAAAATAACGAGTTTATTCGACTATTTCTTTTCTTCCTTGTAGGCCAGAACGAGACTTCCTTAGATTTCCACGACGCATGCGCGAGAATTGCGATCTGAAGTAGTGTAAGCTGGTGTGAGCAGATCGCAAATCTCGAAATCCCGAAGACGAACGAAGGTCTTACGGGGTTGGTACAGCATGGGGGTGAGTAATTAATGACTTAATTTTCATTTTTGGGTGAACTAACCCTTTAAACTTTGATGTTGGCCCTCCAGGAGCAGGATTGGGCACCTCTTTAAAGACTATGGTACTACTATGGTAATACTATGGTTTAGGTCATGGCACAGTAGTAGACTACTAAAAATATTTTCCTTGACATACTTTCTCGATTTCTGTTTAAATACCATGGTAAACAAATATGGCAATAATTTAGTTCCATTGTATAAATCAAAGTTCCATGGTACCTATTTTCAGAGGAAATGTTTGCCTGTGTCAAACCAACACATTGTTAAGGTAGTTGCCAGGTTGTTACACGCTAAGATGTTATTTTTTTATTTTTTAGAAAAACAAAACAACAAAACCCCCCCCCCGGAAAACTAGCCTTCCGGATAAGCTAATTACCATCATGACTAAACATGTCTTGCCACAGCAAACACCGTGCATTATATTCATTCACTCTGAGGAATCTTTTGTAGTAGTAAAATGTTTGTCAGTTATAGAAAAAATCAGTTATAGATCAACACAAAGAAAGCACCTGATCCGTCTATATTAAAACAAACACAAATGCCTGAGTCATTTTGATGGGAGCGGTATACTGTGGTTCTTTTGAAGAGCTCATACTCATTTTCACTCCATTGATCTCTTTCTACTTGTTTTCTCTCGGTTCTATCAACCATTCCAAATCTGTGTGCTGACCATGTCTAATAAGGACACCATATGGATAATCTCCCCCATTCACCCCGTCTTTTACTAATGTTGGCATGTCTTGTTTCTGCAAATCTCAGTGAGATTGTTTAACATTGTACATTGGAAGTGGACCAATCAAATCATGAAACACAATCTACCTCTCTGTCTGCAAACCAGCAGCGCCACACATCCACTTCACATGAAACTAAAATCAGAGGAAACTGCTAACTACTACAAGCTGTAACAGATTTCAGATCGAATACACACATTTATACAGCTTGATGCCTAGTAGACAATAGATAGATTCCAGATGCCCTTCCAAAATTCCAAGGCTAAAATGAAAGCAAAAACTTTACCATACAGCAACGGTTTAGGAGCGTGTCAAGACTGGCCTCTCTTCCTTTCAGGCAAACGGACCTCACAGTGACAGGTCCACTTCACTGCAGATTTGCCCAAAAATAGCAATATTAGCTCAGAATTCTTTATTAAACCAGTGCAGCGCTGGTATTTCCTCTATGTCGGGCTGCTGTTTTTCTTGTGTACACTCTCTCAGTTTGAAGCCTTTACTCTGAGACATGTGGTCAAGAGCTCTACCTCAAAAATCCAGCAGGACTCACTTCCGATGGTGAGGGGAGGAAAAACACAGGGTTGTTTGCACAAAACATCTGCTTTTTTTCGTGTTTTCTCTCACACAATTCATACTGACAGCACAAGTAGGGCACAAGTCTTCAGCCAGACCAGACAAAAAAAGAGGACTATTGTATTCCCAGTGTATTGCCCCTTAAAGAGAATCGGCCAAACAATGATCAATTGATACATTTTGATGATACATCCCCACCAACTTTTCTGGGGTGCATTCCTCATGCATCTATGGAGAAATTAACTAGCTAGTTTCCCAAAACCATAGTAACTTTGCACATCTATTGTTTGAACATTGTTGGTTAACTATACAGAACTGATCCGTAAAGGAGTAGTTGACTTTAAGAAAAAAAAATGCTTATAATTTACTCACCCCCATGTCATCCAAGATGTCCATGTCTTTCTTTCTTCAGTCGAAAAGAAATAAGATTAAGATTTTTCTCCATATAATGGCCTTCACTGGGCACTCGTTCATCAAAATGAACAAATCTTTTTTTTTTTTTTAGAGTCATTTGTTTCATTCAACGAACGAAATGACCGAAATGACTCTAAAAAAGATTAATTCATTTTGATGAACGAGTTCGAACAGGAGAGTCACAAACGCGCATCACAGATAAGAGCAAGGCAAGCATTTGTGCTTTTAAAACTTAAATTTATAATATATTTTTTAAATGATCGTTTCGCTAGAGAAGACCCTTATTCATCGTCTGGTGTTGTATAAAGCTCTTTGAAGCTGCACTGAAACTCTCATTTGGACCTTAAACCATTTGGTTCCCAGTGAACCCCAGTGAATCCATTATATGGAGAAAAATCCTGGACTGTTTTCATCAAAAACCTTAATTTCCTTTCGACTGAAGAAAGAAAGACATGGGCATCTTGGATGACATGGGGGTGAGTAAATTATCAGCAAAAGTTTTTTTTTTTTTTTTTTTTTTTTTAAGTGAACAACTCTTTCCCCACCATTGAAATATCCGTCTTTCCGTGTGTTCAGTGTTATACGGTAGGGGGTGCTATTAGGCATTTTCTGAAAGAGCACTAAATCTCCTGATCAAAACACATGTGAAAAGGAAGCAGAAACAATCGATATCACATGTAAGCAGATGTATTTGTAAAATAAAGCGATCATCAAAATTAAATCAAAATTGCATATAAATCAAAACTACCTAATTTTAATGCATGAATATTGACCCATGACGAGCTACAGGAGTGTGAAGCTTTGAGGGTGTTGATGAACTCGATCTACTCCATCTGTGTTTTAATCATCATGCTGAATCCGATCTGGATATAGTCTTCGAAAAAACGTGATTTTCACAGCTTTTTGCTAAAACTGTTTTTTTTTTAAGAAACTTGCACATATTCAAGTGTTGATAAAAAAGAAGAATCCATAAAGTTAGAATAAAATAACTTTTCTTTGTTTAAATTACAATATGTAAGAAATGTTTGTATCAAAATGTCCAAAAAACTACTTGCGCAGTTTTATATATTTCTTTCAATTGTTTACTTATTATTATCATAAATGTTTCCAATAATTTGTAAATTCTTAATTTACAAAAATTGTAATTCACAATTTTAAATAGTTCCTGTCCCTTGTCGCCTGTCAATGATGTAATAACAACGCGTTCTCATCCCAAAGCGCCATATAGGACGCTTTTGCAAAAGCGTAAATATCCAACGCACATGGCACCCTTTAACGTCTAATGAGACGCTTCGGTTAATGGTTAAGTTTAGGTATGGTGTAGGGTAAGGGTTAGACCACTAGGGGGCGCCTTCTGCCCAAATATATCTGCGTCTCATTTCACGTTAAAGGGTGCCATGTGCGTTGGATATTTACGCTTTTGCAAAAGCGTCCTATATGGCGCTTTGGGATGAGACCGGGCTCGTAATAACCACGTTATACCTAGTCTCCGCTTGTACGGTGATGGTAACCTTGGCGACCGATGTGGACAGCTGTGAAATGTTTAGCGGCACGCTCACGCTGTTGTTGTTGTGCAAGCTGACTTTGGGACAAAAGGAGAACTACGAGGATCAATATCGGCGTGACGTTTTCGAGATGCCGAGAGCTTTGCGGCAAAGTTCAACTTAACAGAGCTTCACGACTTGACAGAGATGCTGTTCTTGCATGTACTTTATTAGACAGGTGCCGGTTTTTATGTAAATAAATCAAATCATTGTTATACAGCTTAACATGATGAAATGTTAGAATATCATCAGTGTTTTATTCCAGCCCATTCTCACTCCCAAGGCGTCACCTAACTGACGCCTTGGGA